ATTTTATTTATTTATTTGAGAGAGAGAATGAGAGAGAGCATGAGAGTGGGGAGGGTCAGAGGGAGAAGCAGACTCCCCGCTGAGCAGGGAGCCCGATGCAGGACTCGATCCCGGGACTCCAGGATCATGACCTGAGCCGAAGGCAGTCGCTTAACCAACTGAGCCACCCAGGTGCCCCCCTCTTCTATTTTCATTTTAAAAAGTCAAATGTATTAGATTTTTTTTTCTCTTTATTGGCTCTATTTTGATTTTGAAAAGTGCACAAACATGTAATAGCACTTCTTTTTCTTATTCCTTTAATGCATAGTTTATATTTGAAGAAGAGAAGACAATTGCAGCTAATCACCAATAAACAGACACAATTGTCCTTTTGGGACTAGACGCCCCCCCCCCCTTAATCCCTGCTCTGCCTCAGTTTCTGTGGGAGGTCTGGCATCAGTGGGAAAGATGCTTACACTCTGGGGGAGTTATGTGCTGGGCTTTGGATCTCAGTGATTTCTACAGTAATTCCAAGATGGATTGTGCCTTCTTTTTTTGGACTCGCACTGGGAAGCCAATTAAATTAAAAGGCTATTCATTTCATTATATTTGTCTCCAGGCTGCTCAAATAGAAATGCAAATGACTTCTATTGAGTGAGTTTTCTGCCTCAGAATGCCTTCTCACATGTGGACTTCAGAGTCCAATCTGCATGAAGGGGGAGAAACACACACCCCAGCCCATGTGGCTACTTGGCTTCCTCCGCAGACTCGGTTTGAAGTTATGCTAAATGAAGGCATAGTCAGCTTCAAGACCACTCACAGGTCCTTAGTGCAGTTGGCAAAAAACGGGCCCATGTTTACTGAAATGGTCACACCTGGGAGGAAGAGAGGGAACAACTCTTTTTTCCAGCTGAACTAAGAAGAGTGAACAAATGGTAGAGCCTAAACATGGCAAATACTGCTTCCTTGGTGTCGCTTCCATTCACAAGGGGCCCTAGCCTTGCAGAGAAAACAGCTGCCAGCAACCCCTGGGCCCCAACCTCCAGTTTCAAATCCTACAAAATAGGACAGTATGCTGTCCTAAAAGCTCAAACCAAAGGGTCTGACTTAGAACGTATGGCCAGTGATGACCAAATCAGAGGCTCAAGTGCAGTTGACTGAACCCACTGGAGATCATTCTGGGGAGTGAAGTCATGGGTAGGGACCAACCAGATGGGGTCATTAAACATTCTTGAGAAAGGATCCATGGGGAGTGGACACTGAAACCACATGTCTACTACATGCCCGCATGGGTAGAAAGGACCTCTCAAAATGGATTAACTGGTGGTTTGTTGAAGAACTAGAAGCAACTAGAATTTGCAATTTTTTCCTTAAAGCACATGTGGCATGTGGGACGTAGGAGGACTGTCCTCCAACAGTCCTTGCGCAAAAGTGATTTCAATTTTGAATAGATGAGCTTCCTTAAAAGGAACAGGACGTTCACACTAGCCTATAGTCTATAAAATAACAGCCTGCACCCTGCCATTTGCAGATCATTTTGGGGCCTGGCCAGCCCAAATTGAAACTTGCCCATCAACAGTGGCAGATGAAATATTAGGTTACCTCTAATGGCAGAGCATCCAGGGTCCCAGTGATGGAGAGGATGGGGGTTACGATGGCCGTCCTGGCCTTCATTACGGCTTATTGAGACCTGTCTGGCAGGATGTAATAAGCAGAACAAAATTTGAGGCAACAAAAATGCCTCAATGTTTATGAAAGACCAAAACTATTTCCCAGAAAAAGAAACCATTTGGAGCAAATTGAAAATCATTTGACTTCATCTTCACTTTCATGAAAAAAAAAAAGAAAGAAATCCCTATCTGAGGAAAATTCACCTCTGCTTTGAAATTCCTATCTAATTCAAAATGCCTGGAGAGAAGGAAGGGAGGGATGGAGGGAAGAAGGAAAGAAAAGTGGGAAAGAGGGAGAAAGGTTGGTACAGAGAGAGCCTCGAATTCGAAGAACAATTTGACCATCTCAGTACCTGCCTCTCAAATTTCAAAAAGCACTCTTTTATTTTCCTTTTCTCATAAAACAGAGCAAATACAAACCTGAGGCCTAATATTCCATCAGAGAAAATGTCCTCTGAAAAGTCTGTTGTTTTTTGGTGAGTGTCCCAAATCAGTTGATTTAATTAAAATGAATGGGCAGTTTTTGATTCTATTGTATTCCTACTATCCCCTAAAAACAGGCAAAGCCATAAAAAAAAAAAAAAAATGCCAGCAAATATGCACCGAATGTTCATAGCAGGTCTATTCATAGTAGCCCAAAACTGGAGACAACCCAAACGTTCATCAGGAATAGAATGGATAAATAAATTGTGGCATATTCATACAATGGAATATTAGCAATGAGAATAAACAAACTACAAGTAGATGCAGCAATAGGAGAAAATCTCACATGCATAGTGTTTAACAAAAGAAACCAGATGCAATGGAATACTTATTATATGATTCCATCTACATTAACATTCAAAAACAGGCAACTAATTTATGGTGATGAAGGCCAGATTAGTAGTTACCATTGGAAAAAGAGAACATGTGGGAACCCCTGGAGTGTTTGTCATGTTTTCTTTCTTGATTTGAATGATGGCTACACTTGGTGAAAATTCAACAAGCTTGAAATTGCTTGTATTTTACTGCAATAAAAAGTTTATCTAAAAGTGCATATGATATGAGCAAACTTTGGGGAGTGATGGAAATGTACTATATTTCAATTGTGATGGTGATTATATGATCATATATATTTATTAAAACTCACCAAACAGTAGCCTTAAAGCTGGCGAATTTTATTATATGTAAACTATACCTAATAAAGCCAATTTTTTAAAAGTTTAAAGAGTTTAGGCAAAAGAATTCTACTCTCTGCACACAAAAGCAGTTTGAGAACAAATTCAGAATGAAAGCAACTGCATTCATTTATTCCTGTGCTTTATTTTGCAGGAGAAACAAATAAATCAATGGCTCAAATGTTTCAATGTGTATGAATTATTAGAATATAAGTCCTCAAAGGCAGAGATCCTATTTATATGTGAATCTCAGTACTAGCCAGTTGGAAAACTGAGCCTAGGGATTCTCACTGCAGTTCTAATTCATAATCTTCTAAATGTCTCCCAGTGTCACTAATGTGCTTGTATCAGCACATTTTTGTGGCTGTGCACAATAATGCTGCCAAACAACCACAAAACTTCATTTATTGCTCACGCATTGGGAGTCAGCTGGTGGGGGTGGCTAGGCAGCTCTCCTGATCTTCCACAGCTTGCTCCCATGCCTGGGGTGAGGCTAGCTATTGGCTGATAGAAGCTGGCCTCAACTGGAATGACCGTGGCAACTTGATTGGTTGTGATCCTCCAAGATGGTGCCCAGTGATGCTTGCCTCCTGGTATATCCTTGCCCTTGTGCACTCACCTCCCACATAAAATAGAGCTGTCCTGTGTAACTAATAGGATCCTCCAAAGATGACAGTCATTCCAGGGCTTGGTTACCAAAGACATTGTAGCTTCTGCCTTGCTCATTTGGACCACTCAGCTAACTAGAAGCCAGACCATGTTGTGAAGACACATAATCAGTCCTATGGAGAGATTCACATGGTGAGGAACCAAGGCCTCAACATCCAGCACCAACTTGCCAGACACATGTATGAGCCACCTTGGACGTGGACTCGTCAGTCCCAGCCAAGCTTTCCGATGACCACAACCTTTGAGCCAGAACCCTGAGCAAGAACCAACCAGCTAAGCCACTCCTGAATTCCTAAACCACAGAAACTCTGAAAGATAATAAATGCTTATTGTCTTGAGCTGCTAAATTTTATGATAATGTGATATGCAGTCATAGACAACTAATATACTTGACTCTATACCATGTAGCTCTCATCATTCAATAAGGTACCCTGGATACATTCTCATGGTGACAGCAGAGATGCAAGAGAACAAGTGGAGAGGAGACATGCAAGCACTTTTCAAATCTCTCCTTGCATCATCAGATCTCCAAAGATCCCTTTGGCCAAATTAAGTCAAATTACTCAGCTCAGAGTGGTAGGGCAGGGCAGGTTAGCTCACCTACTAAAGGAAGGCACTACAAATTTATATAGCAAAGAGCATGGTTGGTGGTTTTAAAAGGTGTCCACAAATTTTTTGGCACTGACCTATTCAAAAGGAAGGGCCTATTTCCCCTCTCTTTAATGTGGGCTGGACTTTGACTCCCTTCTAATGAATAAAATGTGGTGGAAGTGATAATGTGTGACTGCCCTGGCTGAGTCATAAAAAAGACTTCCTGGTTCTCTCCTCTCTCTTTCTCTCTCCCTCACTTTCTCTCTCCCTACCCCCCTCCCTCCTTTCATGGATTCTTGCTCTGACAAAAGACAACCACTTGTACTGAAGACAGTCAAGCAGATCTGTAGAGAAGTCTATATGGAAAAGAACTACCAACCACCAGAACCAATTTGCCACCATGATAGAGGTGGATCCTCTGGTCCCAGTCAAGTTTTCAGATGACTCCTGCCCTAGCCCATATCTCAAATGCAAAATCAACCTGAATATTTCTGACCCATAGGAACTGTGATAGATAATACAGTTTTATTGCTGTTGTAAGCCACTAAGTTATGGTATAATTCATTATGCAGCAATCAGTAACACAAGGAAAGATGAAGAATTAGAGATTTTATTTTTAACCACAGTTCAGGATTCTGGGCACAAACAACAGGATCCACTCTAGCTAGTTTAAGTAGAAAAGAAACATATTAAAGGGTACTGAAGAATCTGCAGGAGGGCCAGATTCTAGAGGCTATAAAAGCAACACCATTGCTCAAAGCACAGGGTATTCCTGCTCCAGCCAGGACTCCATTCTTGTTGAAGCTGGACTCCATTCTTGTTGAAGCTGGATTAAGGTATCTCAGCTTGTAACATTAAAGTGGGTAGCCGGGTGCCAGAATCTCCACCATTAATATCCTAGAAAGTTGGATGCCTTCACACCCCCTTCACCCAAAAGTGGAATCTGTGAAGTGCCAGCTTCATCTTCCTGCTCTCTTCCAACCAGAGGTCTTATACAGGTGCTTATAACTTTTGGAGTCTATCTGCAAAGGAGGATGGGAAAAAATGAGTTGTGGGCTCCATTCTTGGGGAGGTGTGATTTATAAGATAGGAAATACCCCAGTAATAGGAAGGGTGTCCAAAAGGTGCTGAGTAGCTAGAAAAATTGACAAATGCTCACTTCTTGTCTCATGTAAAATCATCATTACATTACTAAAATATAGATAATTAGAGAAATTACTGACATGTCTTCCTATTTCCTGGAACTCAAATTGGTAAAAGAAATTCAACTCTAGTACCATTCCCAAGCAATTGTTAATGACCGCCTAGAGTTCTGTGCTAAGAGGAATTCTAGGCTCGGGTGGAAAGAAATCTGGGATCAAGCTGTAATGATGCCATGTGTGCTACGTATTTGGGTTAAATAATAGGTACCTACAAAAAGAAATGCCCTCTGTCTCTGTATTTTCTCTCCTTTCCTACAAGGAAAGTCTGAAAATACTCCATTACCTTTTACAATTGTTTAGACCAAAACTGTTCCCACTGACCAGACGCTATTTTAGTCATCTATCTGAAATGGCATGCAAGCCAATCCATGTCCCTATTGTATCACTCTAGTACTTGGTAGAACCCAGATATGTAAAACAGCTCTCTAGTGAAATATGGCCTCTTGTTCTGTCTCCTCCTCAACTGCTTACACTTATGTCATCCCCTGAGGGATCCCTGAGGAAGTGCAAATTCCACAAGATGCAGTTTAAATGTCACTGACCTATACCATTGCTATAACCAACTGTTAATCTCCAGAGCTCCTTCATTCATGCTCATTTTCTCTTTCCCGTCACTCAAATTCAGTCTATTGGTAAGAATAAATGGTGGACAAAGTCCCTACACTTTAACCCTTCTATTTTCCTGTCTGGATTGTCTGGATGGTGTGACTTTTCCCCATGTGAGTCAATAATGTTTATAGCACTAGAACTTCACATGATTTGCTGTCTTTTAGTCACCTCACAGAGACCAACTTCAGGGCTGACAAATAATAAGTCTACATTAAGTTACTTCATCTTCATCCTTGTGCTAATAGCAAGAGACTTCCCTATCTGAAGATTGAACATCACACCCGCTATGTCATGGTTTCAGTGGGGCACACTCCCCCCTTGCCTCCATTCTCCTTAGCCACTGTTGCTCAGAGTGCCCTCAGCTGTCTCATAATTATATTAGGAAGCAGGATATTTGCTCATGCCATAGAACAATGCTTCTCACACTTTAATGTACACACAAATCACCTGGGCATCTGTTTAAATGCAGATTCTATTTCAGCAGGAGGGGCCAAGACCCTACATTCCCATCAAGCTCCCAGGTGATGCTGATGCTTCTGGTCCATGCCACACCTTACCTAGCAAGGTTCTTCTAGACCCAGACTCACCCTAAATGGGAGGAACTTACCACTTTTCCTAGAACTCTACTTGTGTACCTTCTCTTCTTACCTCTTTCCTTTGGATCACATTCCTCCACCATCAATCCCCGAGACATTGGTGTTCATTCCTGCTCTACCCTTGATCATACTAGTTTTATTCATTCAATGAGCCAATAATCATTAAGCCCCTGCCATGAGCTAGACACCATGCTGTGCACTAGGGACACATCCATAAACAAGATTATCCCTGCTCACATGGAACTTATGATCTAAAGAGAAAGACATTAACAAATAACTACTTAATAATTACTTGTACTTGTGAGGAGTGCTAGGAATGGAAATTACAGGATGCTCTGAGAGCAAATAATAGAGAAAAATCTAATCAAGTCTCTTGGGCCCTTGGGGTTTCCACTTTGCGTGACTTCCTCTGGTTTCATATAAACTCAGCCTTATCTATGGTGAGGCAAAGCATTATAAGTTTCCCTGATAACCCTTTACCCTCCTCTTGACCACAGTCACTAGTTTGCACTTGGTATTTCATGGCCATACTCACCTTTGGAAGGAAGATGAGCATGGCATGGAGCTTACGGTTGACAGGTGTGTCTTGGACTTCCAAAGCTCCAAATCAATACTGGATTGCCTCATGTCATTCTTGCCCCTTGGCTCCCCTTGATAATGGTGCTGGCCATCTGCAATAGCAAGCTGTTCCCTCCCAAATTCTAGTCAACACTTCCCCTTGCTCAAAAATGACAGCAAATATAACACCCTAATTTCTTCCTCTCGTGACCTCTTTTGTTGATCTACTACTTAGAACTATGACTCAGCTACTGCCAGCAAATTACACTGATTAACACCAAGGTCTTTAATATTTATTCATTAAGAATGACAAGGTCCAAATCTAGTTGCCATATCAGAGATTCTGGCCTCCTTAGGCTCAGAAGGCTTAGCTAGCTGCAATAGTTGTCCTTTCCAGTCTCATAGGGTATCAGTTAGGCAAGAAAAAGAGAAAAGGTATGGATATTGCAGAACCATTATAACCTATGTAAGATAAGGTCTTCCATGGTTTCAGCCATAAAATTCATTCCTGTATGGTGTTATAGTCAAAGAAATATGATCTATTAGCCAAACTGTATCTGCAATGGAAGTTGAAGCTTTCCTGAAATCTTTTAAAAGTGGATTCCATTAGTTCAGTTTAAATTTAAGGAAAACTTTAAGTCCCGTTTCCTGTTATTTGTCCTTTTTAATATTTCACATCTAAAGTAACTGCCCAAATGTCTTCTCTCTCCTGCCTCTCCTAAAACTCTGCTAATTCCCCATCCAACCAGATCCACTGGACATCAACCCTTCATCACCAACTTCTCCCTCATGGGATTCGTTCTGCCAAAGTCTTATGACAATAGTTTTCATCTCTTTCTCTCTCTCCAGTGTCAGCTCAGCATGATCTGGCCCTGTCAGCCCTGTCACTCTGCCCAATGGCCTAACTTGGTCCAGGATCTTGAGGCAGATCTAGAATTCTTCCACCTAGGAATCTCCCACCCAGGAGGAAGAGAGGGCAAGTGTACATTCTCTTGCATTGTCTGTGCTTGGTTTTGTCACTGCCACTTCATTAACCCAAAGAATTAACTCCTATTACTTCAAGGAAAGGGACCATGGCAATTATTATTAACATTCCAGTCTTTGCTGATTAAGAAAATAGAAAATGGAAAAAAAAAAAAAAAGCTAGTGTGAAATAAGTAAACTTCATATTTAACTGACTAGCATCTGCATTCAATTAAAAAATATATGTATATATATAGTCTGTATGCAAATCTTTATACACACACACACAGACTCTGTACTAGATGCATCACTTCTCCAATCCTGCCAAGAGTATAAGTCCTCCCATGTCCCTTCACCATAATCCTTTCTCCACAACCCACATGCTGGGATCCACAGATGCCTGTCCCTTAATTAACTTAGTTAATACTTATCACATATCACCAACATTTTTAAACTTTACCTTAGCATATTGCTTTTCATGAAATGTCCAAAGTGTTCGACATTAGGAGTCCTAAGTATGTTGTACTTTTAGGACTCTTGGAGGGATAGACTCTAATCAAGCATTTTTGACTCATATCTGACTTTCTGCTCTAGAGTAAACCCCATAAATCCTTACCCTGGGAGTGAGCTCTGAGCCATTACTCGTGAATGTTAATTGTGTACAACATTAATGGAGAATGTGGATGACACTGGCTTCCTGACCTGCAGCTTTGTTTCATAATCCCTGGCTTGCCAGCTGGGACTTTGATGGGGCATTTTACAGCACAGCCTTTGCTACCCTCGTGAAACATTACAATCACATAAAATGTGCTGTAGGATTGTCAGTAATATGGAGCCTGATCTTGGCATCTGTGCCATAATCATCTCTTCTCATCACTTCACTGCCCACTTAGGAGTCTTTGGAAGGCTTCCTCTCCTATGAATAGGGGTGTGGAGCTTAATCAGTCATGCCTGGCAAAAACACCCTCATTTCCAATTCCAGTTCAACAACTCACCAAAGGTGGTGTCGGGAAGTTCTCTTAACTTCCCTGTTCTCTTATTTAATTGGCATTTCCTCTCAGTCTCCAGAGCAGTCAATTCCCTCTTTCAGGTATGGAATACTCTGGAAGGCCTGTTGTAGATGCTCAAAACAACTTACACACACACCAATCAAAACTCAAGCCAAAGGCACACGGCGACCACTTAACCTGCTTTGAGTTCTACCAAGCAGAACCTTGGCACCAGAAAAATTGTCCAAATTCCTGTCTTAGTGAGATATTAGGAATATGTCTGAACCAAATATTGGAATCAATGACATGATTCTTGTCCCTTCCCAGTTCCATAGTGTCTATAGAAAAAATAAATTATCTAGTGCCTCCCTAAGTTTCCATGCTGCCTGTGACCCCAATGCAGGACACAATGTAGACTTTCCCCTACTGCTTGGAGTCAATCACTAGCTGGTTTCACCCAACTTTCTGGTAAATGGAAGAGCAATTTACAGCACAAGTATGAACAAATCCATTAGTATGGGGAGCAAGAACCAGGGTCCACTTTGAGCATCAACTTATACTGGCCCATTATCTCTCAAAGATAATGGGCCAGTACTGCTGGGTTCAGGGGTTAGTTCAGCCTGACCTGCTTCTGCCCCAGCAGAACTGGCCTCTGATGGCCTTTGTGGGGTGCTCTTCTGAAGTCAGGAAATAAGGCGGCTGTGTACCTTGCAGGGAAGAAGAGCTGGGTACGTGCTACTGATGGGAATGGTATCACTAGTGTGAGCACAGTACTCTTGATTCAAGAATAGACCCTTTCTTCTTTATGTGGATGTTGTTGATTTTGGCAAATGCATAAATAGGCAAATGGGAACCAAGAGGGACCAGAGGGGAGGGAATTCCACTCCTTCCCTTGTTCAAGCCTAAACATGCTGGTGTTCTTTCAGGCTCTCAAACACTCTAATGCTAAGTGTCATGGCACAATGCCCTTGGTCTCCAAATCGGCTGCACATCCCAATCATCTGGGAGCTTTCAAGAATCCCAATGTCCAACTCTCAGCCCATCCCAGTTATATCCAAATGGCTGAGGGAGGGGGCCAGGCATCAGTAGTTTTTAAAGATCCCCTAAATGTTCCCATGTGCAGTAATTTGGGAACTACCAACAAAGTGGTTATGAGCACAGACCCTGGGGTCAGATCTGGGTTTGAATCCTTGTTCCACAATTTACCAGCTATGTGAGTTAAAGCTAGTGAGCTGCTTAAACTGTGTTTCAACACTCTCATTTTCAAAATGTAGTATTTTACAAATAAGACTAGCATTACCTCAGAGGGTTTCTATGAGAATTAAATGATGTATTATTTGCAAAATGTTTAAATCAATTCCTCATATGTGCTAAGAGCTATAAAAGTCTGTTAAAAAGAAAAACACACATGTGAGCTCATTGCTACCTTAGGGCCTTTGCTCTTGTTGTTCTGTCTGGAGTTCACCTTTCCTGACCCTCAGGGCCAAAAGGTAGCCCATCTACCCCAGCTACACTCTATCTTGGTGCCCTTTATTATTCTCATGTACACACTTATATGTATATTTATTGAATATATTTTGATCATCTGCTCCACTAGAATGTAAATCCATCAAGAGGAGGCTCTGCCCTATCTCTAGAACAATGCCTGAGTAAATGAGTGCATGAGAGAATGCAGACGCTGGGGTGCATCTAATTCACTAGTAATATGAAGAGCAGGCATTCAAGGAAAGATGTCCAGGCCTTTTGACAGAGACCCTTCCACAGGCTCCAAAGTGCTCATGGTTCAAATACAACCTTTGGGTTTGCTGTGGGTGAGACTTCACAGCTGGAAAGAGGTACACACGTTAGCATCCCTAATTAAGCCTTGTGCATCCCCAATTAAGCCTTGTGCAATAAGAACCTTGCCTGTAAACAAGCAAAGTGGCCTCTCCCTGAAAATCTAGAGCCGATGAAATTGCACTCCAGATAATTACCTCATTTGAATTCTCTCATTTCATTTCAGTAAATAGTTCATATTTATTTTATTTAGTCTAAAGCTGGTCTATTTTCATTTTATAAATTGCTGCCCCTCCAACCAGGGTCACCAGTAATCTCACTATGTGGGTATGAGAGATTAACCTCTGAGAATTTTAAACAGAATGAAATACATGAGGACCACATCAAAGGTGGGGAAGATATGTATATCTTCTACAGAATGCATGGTGCAGATTAGCAATAAGACGTCATGGGTACCAGGGCAGTCTCTGTGCATCTCATTAGGATTCGACATTTCCATTTAGGTTAATCATCCTACAGATGTGTTCCATTTCATGGAAGATGAGACATCCTAACCTGGAACGCCAAGCCATCCTGAGGGTGATGTGGATTGCAGAGTCACCTCCCTGTACGGATACATGTGTAAATGCAGTGTGGATCCCCCACAGATGCGTGCACCCATCCCTGCACATTTCAGATCCTAGCTGCAAAGTTGCTGACTGGGAAGCTGAGAACTGAAGTCAGCTGAAGGTCCACTGGGCATGATGAAGGCTCCTGGGTGTCAGAATCTATGAGAAGTCACGGAAATTACTAAAATATGATTTACAGTAATGTTTTGGGAACAAGGATGTGACTTAATTTGAACTTTTCTCTCCATTTCATCATCACAAGAGAGGCAACATGGCCCATATAGATTTCCCAAGGTCAGTGGTCTGCCTTCTCAAGAGTTCATGGCAGTCTTGACTGAACTTAATCAGAAGAAATTTCACAGAGGGTCCCCAGGCCTCAGTACGGGCCCTGGCCCCCTATACCTCCTCCACCTGTGGTACCCAGAACAGTGATCCTTCCTCACCTTCAGGTTCAAAAACCTGGAGACCTCCAGACCCTCAAGCAGCAAAGCAAGGCACTGGGAAGCTCAGAGGTGGACTCTACCTAAGGCAAGCTCCTCATGAACAACGTTTCACAGGGGCTGCCGACCAAAATGTACTCTGGGGCGCCTGGGTGGCTCAGTTGGTTAAGCAACTGCCTTCGGCTCAGGTCATGATTCTGGAGTCCCGGGATCGAGTCCCACATCGGGCTCCCTGCTCAGCTGGGGGTCTGCTTCTCCCTCTGACCCTTCCCCTCTCATGCTCTCTGTCTCCCATTCTCTCTCAGATAAATAAATAAAATCTTAAAAAAAAAATGTGCTCTGGGTAGATGGGTGACAATTTGTCAGAACAGCACAGTTTGAAGCTTTCTGTTAACCAGCACTTTGTTGTAAGAGATTGCCTAGCAGGTGTCAGCCAGGCAATATGATCCTTACCCTCATTTTTTTTTTTTAAAGATTTTATTTATTTATTTGAGAGAGAGAGAATGAGAGACAGCACGAGAGGGAAGAGGGTCAGAGGGAGAAGCAGACCCCCCGTTGAGCAGGGAGCCCAATGTGGGACTCGATCCCGGGACTCCAGGATCATGACCTGAGCCGAAGGCAGTTGCTTAACCAACTGAGCCACCCAGGCACACTCTTACCCTCATTACTGTCCACTGGAGGTCCACAGTGCCGTCCCCACAGGACCACCACGAGATGTTACTATTGATCTAACAGTTGACTCATGGTCAGGGATCAGATCTACACCATCCAGCTGCTTTCTACTTCATGTACATTTTAAGGATAAGAATATGTATGCTTTGCTCACCAAACTAAACAATCTCCTTCTGGTCCTCTCCCCTCCCCCCTCCCACAGCTGCTAGATGAGTGCTTCTCAAACACTAATATGCACCCAAATCACCTGGACATGTTTTAAAATGCAGATTCTGATTCAGGAGGTCTGAGACAGTGCCTGAGACTCTGCATTTCCACCAGGCACCCGGGCAGTACAACACTGCTGACCCAGAACCACATATCAAATAGCAGCTATCTAGAGCTTCTGTATTCTCCCTCCTCAAATACATCAAAATCTAATCATTGAAAGGGACTTTGGACCACGAAGGTTCAAATGAGAGGGGAGGCTTGGTGTGTTTCCATCCTCAGGAGTATTTGCCATTTTAGAAAACTAAGAATACCTTGCCAAAGGAATGACGGCATTCTCATGGAATTCTGGAGCTGGGGTAGTTTGAGTTAAGCCCGGAACATCCTTCTCAAATCATCAGAAATCCTGACTATTGCCTGTATCCTGAGGCCCCACTTGTAATGAGCAGTGTCTAGCCATGAGGCCAGTGCCATCTGTGTGGCTGAAGCAGATGCAAAGGGGAGGTAAGGGCCCCAGAATGACAGGACGCAAGGCCTCCCTTCCTTCACACAACCACCTACCTGGATCTCTGCTGCCGGTTGCCTCTGCATCAGGCAGGACCACCTCTTCTGCAGGCTCAGCTGACCATAAATTCTGCTTTAAGACCTGTTCTCTATACAGACATCACCGCAAAAAAAGGTAGCCGGTGGCAGGAAGTGGTTAAAACCAACTCATGGCTTTATCATCCAGAGCAGCTGATGGGAGAAGAGCATAAGTGAAGCTCCCCCAATTGCTCTTCCCCCACCTTGTTCCTCCTAGGATTATTTTATTTATAGCTAGGAAAAAATAATTACCTACAGCTGTGTTTCTCAGGTGCAGGGCACTTAAGGCAGCACTCCCACCCACTGGGTCCCTGCTTGCTGAGCACACCCCTGGGAGGAACCTCCTGACCCCCTTCTCCACAGCCCTGTGACCTCCCAGCATCTTCTAGTCTTGCGGGGACTCAGGTTATCAGCCAGTGACCTTCCACACGGGCCCTCTCTATGACTTGTCTGGGATCAATAGACTGATTTCTTTATTCCATTGCATTATCAGATGAATGGATTTGAAAGACAAATAGCTCCCCTCTAGGTCCTTCCTGGAGTTAGAACAGACCCTGTGCAGTGATTAGCTTAGCAGAGTGCTTAGTAGCCAGAGCTCCAAACACATTCAGATGGAATCCTAGGATGCCAGTTCCTTAACTTGTCAGTGTCCTCATCTGAATGGTGTGGATGATAATGGCACCGACCCCACAGGGGCAAGGATTAAATAAATGCACGCCAAGTATTTACTCACATGTTTGAGCAGACGAGGTATGCAACACATGGTAGCAATTACTACATGGGTGGTGGTGAGGGAGGGAGAAACTGGAGCCATAGAATTAAAGCTGGAAGAGAGGTCACCTGGGCCAGGGCATTACAAACTTTATGGAGCATGAGAATCACCTGGGAGCACAGATTGCCGGGCTCCCCCCAAGATGACTGGACTCAGTAGGTTGGGGTACAGCCCATGAATTTGCGTATCTAACAAGCCCCCAGGTGATGTTTTTAGAACCAAGTAGCTAGACTAACCCTTTTTCTGATGCAAGATGTAGTCCCACGTCTCCGATTCCTGTAAGATCTCTTGGAAGCTCTGTTGGGCAACTCCTACGATGGTAGAAGAAAGGAAATGAATCCTCACTGGTGATCTATAATGAATCATGAGCTTTAAATATATTACTTTATCCTCACAATAACTCATGAGGTTAATTATAGTTGTTCTCTTGTTTTGTTTTCTTTGTTTTTTAAGATGATGACGCTGAGGCTAAGATGCCTTCGACACTTTCACAGAAAAAATTGAGGAGTCAGGATTTGAACCCAGTCCCTGAGGTTTTTTTTTTTTTTGAAGATTTTATTTATTTATTTGAGAGAGACAGAGAGAGAGGGAGAGAGAGAGGGCATGCACAGAAGGAGAGGAAGAGGGAGAAACAGACTCCTCACTGAGCAGGGAGCCCAATGCGGGGCTCGATCCCAGGAACCCGGGATCATAACCTGAGCCGAAGGCAGACACTTAACTGATTGAGCGACCCAGGTGCACCGAGTCCCTGAGATCTTGTGTCAGTGATGTTCAGGTGTATCTGGGAACCCGTACCTTATGGTGCCCTATAGATGAGCAGCTGTTAAAAGTTAGGCTATATTTTTGTTTTCATACTGAGCTACAATCTACCTAGTCATGGTTTTTGGATCTTCAGTAGAATTGAAAAAGACTTAATATTTTTAATATTATTTGGGTAGAGAGAGGACAATCATAACCTTCGGTGCACATTTGATCATGATTAAGTGTGTAGGTCCCAACCACGGGTTTCTATGTTCAAATCCTGACTCCCCACTTCTTATCTGGGTGACTCTGGGCAAGGTTGTAACTGATCTGTGCCCCCACTTTCTTAAATCTGTAACATGAGAATAGTATTAGTACCTTCATCAGAATAGTGAGTGGAGAAAAAAACAGTTTAATGCATATACAGAGTGACATGACCATTTTAGCTTTTATTATTTCAATCTATACAGACTTTGTAAAGCCTTCATAAAGTCCTTTGTGACTGAGGTCTTAAAAATTGGAGACGTCAGAGTTTTTTCCGCCCTTTATGATATGACTACAGAATATTTAGCAGCGTCTTTGAAGTCCTCGCTGCTGATGAGAGGTGCTGGATAAAAACAACATCAAGAGCAGCTGTGCATTTCATCAGCAAGAAACCTGAATTAAACCAACCAAGCTGCTATGTAGTTACTCTGTTTTCTGGCAGAGGTGATTTGGCTTCTTGTATTTTAAGGTAGAGAAATGGAGTCTTCAAGGTGTTAAAGAAGACCACCCACGCATGTCCCAACCAGAGCCTCCTAAAACTCCAGGAAAGCCAAAGGAGGGGAAGATAAAAATACTTAATCATCAAAGGCAAGGGGATATTTTACTGATTGGCAAAAATCATTCTTTAAGTTAAATAAATAATACAAATGATGAGACAAAGGAATACAAGTATTATTTATACCTTGTGTCCTAGATTGATTGGTTAAAAAAAAAAAAAAGCCTGAATTCTCCTCCCCTCCCTGAATGCTTGCCCTTGGCAATGTGACTTTTCAGTCCTTCCCACCAAAAGGTGGAGTCTATTTCCTCAATTCTTGATTCTGGGCTTGGCCACAGGACTTGTTTCAGCCACAAGGATGCAGCAGAAGTGATGCTATGGCAGGACCCCAAGAGGCCCAGGCTTTTATTACCACATTGCCATCACATCATGAATAAGCCCAGGCTAGCCTGCTGGAGAATGAGACACCTGGCCCAGTCATCCTCATTGCCCCAGACAAGTGAGGACATCCAAGACCAGCCAGCCACATCCGTTTTATTGGGTGATTACAGACTCATGAGCGAGCCCAGTCAAGCTCAGTCGGGTCTGGTCCAGAACAGCAGAACCACCCAGCTGATCCAGAGGCTCATGAGACTCATGAGAAATAGGGTTCATAGGGTTCACTGTTTCATCCCTCTGGGTTAAGCTGTTTTTTCTCATACACCCACTGTAGAGTTGGTAGGAATAAAACCACAACAACCACCATATTAAAAGCAAGAATAGTACTATTGGTAGAGTTTGAATGGCAGAAAATTGTTAGGATTCAACCATTTTTAACTTACAAAAATAGGAATTTCATGTGGGCCAACCTAATATTATTCAGTACTTTTCACATGTCAAGCACCATTTTATATGAATTGTCTCATTTAATCTTTACAACAATTCTATGAAGTAGATACTAATATCTCCATTTTACCAGTGAGGACATCTAGGCTCAGTAAGTATCTGTCAGAAGAATGAATAAAAGAAAGGGCAACAGTTCTCAAGGTCACATGACCAATACCTAGTGGGACAGGAATTTGAGCTTAGATTGGATTGATTCTTCTGCCTACATACTTTCTACAACAGGAAGTAGGTGTTAATGACATTTATCAACCATTCACTAGGCATCGGCTGTTCTAAGACCTCCACGTGCCTTATCTCGTTTAACCATCACATATAGCCTTGAAAAATAGGTGTGATTTATGCATGGGGAAGCCAAGGCACTCCAGCGCTCAGTAATTTAACCAAAGTAATACAGAAAATAAATGGCTAGGCCAGAACTTGAACCCAGCCAATGTTCCAAAAACTGTGGTCAACTATACATGGCACCTTTCAAGGAAATGATTAAGGAGAAATAGAAGGAGAGAATGGGGTTTCTCATAAGCAGAACCCTAGTAAATGTTTTGCATCTCTGAACTTAAGCCTGTATTAGCCCAGCTTCACTGTAGTTAAAACTCCCATTTTATAAAGGCTCTTCCTTTCTAAGAGGGCATGCATGGTCTTTTCTCATCTATTGCCAAATCATTACACAGCAACTTTTGGGAAACCAGGTTCAATCTTCTCCTGGAGACATGCGAGGAGACTGTTCTGTCAAGTCCTTGGAGAAGCTCCCTAGTTCTCCACAAAGCCAACCCCTGTAGCCTGAGATATTCACCTCAGTATCACACCTCTGAATTAAGGCGCCATTGCCAGAAAGCCCTTGCAAAAATGCAGGTATGTTACCTGTAAAGGTTAATATGAATTAATTTGTATTATGCAAACTTAAGTCAAGGGATGATGGAGTGAGCCTGGTGTCATGTGAGCAGGGATGGTGAGGACTGTAGCAAATTGGGGAGTCCATGTCCCCTCTAAATGGAGACGCTGCTACTAACATCAAGTCCATTGATAGCGGCAGATGTTTTCAGTTTACCAAAGAAGCCAAAACATCTAGCTATTTTGGGGTAGTTTCCCTTTATTATGAGGGAAAACTGATACACTGGGCTTGAACTTGGTCTGCAGGAGGCTAGTTTGTGACACTGTGCTTAGATCAATATATCATTTCCTTAAGGGAGAACCACTCCAAGGGTTGTCCCCGCACCAGCGACACCAACAGCACCTGGGAACTGGCTGAGAATGCAAGCTCTCTGGCCCCATCCCAGATTCCTTAATCCAAATCTCTGGGGGTATGAGCCAGATATCTGGGTTTAAGCCTCTAAAAGGTGATTCTTTTATAAATCAAGATATGAGTGGTCCAGAAGCAGAAGTATCAAATGTGCAAGGAGTCAAGGGCAGGTTCTGGGGCTGACGGAGGGGAAAGGATCCAGCCCTCTCTGTCAGGAAGAGGAAGAGGAAAGGGATGGTGTGTGACAAGACTGGAAAAAGCATCCTGGGAGCTCTGCAAACAGGACTGTCACCTTGGACAGACAGGTCACTCTTCCTTCAAAGCCAAGACACCCGGCTTTCTGAGGCTGGCATCTCCTCCTCTCCCAACTCCCAGGAAAGTGACACTGTGTTCCCATATCAGAGCAGTGTCAGTGTGAAATCTGTTCCAAAGCGTGTCTCTAAAGTTGTCACCATTTTAGCTAATTAGTCAAAGGCTTCCATCTGCCTAGTGGCTCACCACACTTCTCATATTAATTTTTTATGCAAATGTGGTGATTTGGGGGAGGAAGGATGTCACGCAGAGTGATAGGTACCTCCCTGGAGCCAGAGTAAGATACATCCTTAAGGTACAATCAACAAAATCTCCAGAAAGGTCGTGTTGAACCAAGCTTTTGTATTTGGGTTCTTTGATGCTTAGAAATAACTTCAATTAAAGTCATGGGAGATGTGTGATAAATATATACTGACCTAACCTCCCTACTGTAATCTTAACTGTTTAAGAAGCTGGCCACCAAGCCAATCAATCAAAGCACTGTTCAATTAATTTCTCCTTCCTTCTTCTTTTATTCCCCCTCATTTTTTTTTTTTTTTTGCTTAGCCATGTAATCTTATTGTATTCTTTCCTTCTTTATATTATTTGCTGCCTTCTTTTTAAAGAAGCTGACTTACCTTTCAAGAACAAATTCCATTGTAGCAGTGCCCTCACGGATGATAAGGCAGTAGATTAAAACCCAGGAGTAGCTTGAAATGCTGGGGATGATTTGAAAGAAAGGGTCAATTGTCTCGTATTAATTCAGTAATAACTGGAGAGACATTATTCGTATTGCCTCCTTCCAGGCAGAACTATCTGGTGTCTCATGAAGTTCAGTGCCACTGTAAAGGAAAGTAAAATAAAAAATTGGATACAGGCCAGTTCTGACTCCAATACTGACCCCACCTTTAGTTTCTACTTACAGATGTTCATGTTGGGATAGAAATTAGACTCTGGGTTCAGATCATTTCCTTCCCCCTGTATCAGATAGCTATTGCTGCATACAAAGCGTGCCAATACTTAATGGCTTAAAACAACAACCATTTAGTTAGCTAAGAATTCTGTGGGCCTACCCAACAGTTCTGTTGATTTAGGCTGGGTACCACCACGTGACTCCATCATGTGGTCAGCTGGAAGGTTGTCTAAGGGCTTACTGGTCTAGGATGGCCTCACTTTCTGTGGACCACTAGCTTTTGGGGAAAGTCATAAAGATGGCATGATAGACAGTGTTGGTGCCCTGCCCAAATTCCCCAGGATCCCTTCTGCTGGTTCTTTGTGCCTGTCCCCCAGCTGGGCAGTGCTTTGCTGCTAAGGAGTGGCCCCTGTGACCCTTTCAGAGGGTTGCCCTTGGGTTACTGCAGCTTCCTCCCCAGGCCTGACAGCTGGGAGTTGCTGAGAGTTACATCCTCCCGCTGGCCTCCAGCCCAGGATGAAAACCCCGCTCCCTTACTTCAATGGGGATAAACTCTGAGGCCTAAATGATGCTCTAGAACACTCCACAGGATCAGGCAGAGGCTGGGAATTTGCCGCCCTCTTCCCTGCCCTTCCCTACCCTCAACTCCCTCCTGGGAGCACTTCCTTAGGAGAACATTGGCCTGTATCAGGGTCTGTTTCCAGAGATCCCAATCTAAGAAAGCTGGTCTAACCCAGCTGTCTTTAAACTGAGCACAGAGCGGCCCTGTTTGTCTACGGGATATGTATGTGGTTTCTTCACAAAGGGTCACCTGAAGATAGTTTCCTAGCCAAAGAGCGTTTAAAATGAAAACCACCTCAAACAGCCCAGGCTTTCCTGTAGGTGAAAAGACAAACACGCAAAGAAGTGAAGCCACTCATGGGAAGGCACACTGCCTGGGAGGATAGAACAAATTCAGGGGGCCTTGGACCTGAGTCACATTCACTTGTGTCACTAAACTTGGGGACTCCCACTGGATTCCACTGAGAGCCAGGCCCCCGAGAGAGGGAAGACAGTTGTGCAGAGGGACAAGCCATGGGAGCTCCTTAGCGAGATGGGGTGCTGCCTGGTTCATGAATCCTTTAATAATGCCATTACATCTTTAAAATTTAAAAAAAAGAGAGAAAAAAGAAAGAACCATGGTATCTGCATCCTGGGAAACTGGGGCTTCAGAACTGGCCCTGCCCTTGTGATCTTCCCTCCCCACACCTCCTCCCCTCCATCTCTGCCTCCCCAAGTCCCCATCCTTGCTCCCTCCTCCTCTCTCTCGTCACTTGCCTTTGGCCCTTCCTCCTGCTTCCTCTTTCCCCTCCTCTCCCTCCTCCCTCTTCCTCCTCACCCCTCCCTCCTCTTCCCCCATCCTGCCCTGCTCCCCGCTCCCTCCTCCTCCTCTTCCTTCCCCTTCTCTCCCTCTCTCTCTGGCTCACCATCTTCATCATCTTCATGAGTACTGCTAGCTTCTCGGCCATCCCTTTCCTCTGAAGAACTTCCCTTCTACTAATTTCTGTTTGTTTTCACAAGTGAAGACTTGTGAGCCAGCGACTGGGCAAAACACACAAATCTGGACAGCAGGTAGGTCCCAGGCGCTGCAATCAGCAGCTCTGCCACGGGGAGACTCGGTGCGAACGCGAAGCCCTCCCTCCCGCCTCCGCCCTTCTCACCGGAGGCATCTTATTGGCCTTTCAGTTCACAGATCCACAGGGCGTGATTTATCGAATGTGAATTGGATGTGAAAATACTGTCAAGCTTCTGGAACTAGGAAGATATTTAGATCACTCCACTCACGTACAGCATATTTATGAAAGGAAAAGGAAATGGGTGGATTATAAATGAGAAAAACCTGGAAGAAAAAAACGCTATCCTTCCCAAAGTCCGTCTTTTTACCAACTTCTTTACAAAAGGCAGAGCCTATCGGTAAATACCTTACGTTGGTCGAGTGTGACAATTTCTGGCTCCTTTCAAAAGAGGCAGCCTTCGGGATTTCCACAGGGACTCCCCCAGATCTGCCCACCCCTACGCTTCTGCCCCTCCCCCGGCCCCACTCCGGGGCAACCACCAAGTCCAGCGCGGGAACTGTGAGCTCAGGGAAGTCAGAGAAATCATTGCGCCTCTCCATCTTTCTGGAGACGCAGAAATAGGGGCCCACAGAGGCGAGGGCTACACGAGAGATCCCAAGAACCAAACTACGGCTGGCACTGGTCTGAGAGTCAAGAGTCCCAGGCCTGAATCCCAGCCCCCCTAAAAGTTTCCTTTGTGACCTCAGGCCAGTCACTGTGCCCTTGGGGCCTCAGTATGGCTGATTAAAAAAATGGGCCACCATTATTCATGCTTCCCCATTATCCATGCTCTTTCCGTGTGACTCCACTCTTATCTCCCAGCAAGAGGAGGAGTCCCTTTCCTGGCCTCTTACTCTGGGCCGGTCATGTGATGGGCTTTGGCCAACAGAAGGCCCCAGAAGTTCTGAGAGGAAGCCTCAGGGGTCTTGCACACTATGGCTCCCTTTCTTGGAACCCTGCCCAGCCATCATGTACAAAAGCCCAGGCTAGCCTTAAGGGGATGAGAGACCACATTGGAGCCTGAATGAGCCACCCTGCTGAGGCCATCCTAGACCAGCCAGTTCTCAGCTGAGCGGGAGCTGCCCACAACTGCACAAATTTAGCCCCGGGAGACAATAAAAACTGTCTGGCTATGCCCATCCCAAATTTGTGACCAAGGGTATCATGAAATAAATAAATGGTTTTTATTTCAAGCAGCAGAAGTTAACTGATGTATTTGGTTTCTTCATCTACACAAATGCACAAAAAGGCTGGAACCTAAAGATCTCTTTTTGTAGGTGCTTTTTGAAATACCAAATCCATAAAAGGTTAGGGCCTAGAGCTAAGCTGTCCATTAGGGTAGCCACTAGCCACATGTGGCTATTTAAACTTCAACAATTCCTTGAAATTAAATAAAAGTAAAAAGTCAGTTCTTTAATTGCACTAGCCACATTTCAAGCTGACAGGCATGTGTGAGTCGTGGCCACTGTCTAGGACAGCACAGGTACAGAACGTGCCCCTAATCACAGAAGGTCACGCCGGAGGGTACTGTCCTGGAGCCTCTGTGGTAGCAAGCGTCAGAGCTGAACACGCAAGGACCCACCACATCTACACTCACTCCCCCAACACACGCTGCTCCTCAGCAAATACCCCTCACGTGCCCTCTGAAAATTTCAGATCTATGTTTTGAGTCTTCTGTTTTACCTAAAGTATCGAAACCCTCAAGGAGTCCTTGGATTGACTGCAAGCAATTCCAGTGTTTTAGTGAGAGAGATGGGGAGTGAGGCTCTTAAGGTAGAAAAGTCTTCAGACGGATGCCAAGCTTTCCCTCCTTCAGGGGATTGCCCTAGTTTTTATTTTAAGCATTTTTTTCCATGTTGATAGGGTTGATAGCTGACTTTATCTGCATTCAATCCTTAAAGAAGATTGATGATTGATTTTTTTTTTTTCCTCTGTGTGTATGTGAGAGGTTTCCTCCCAATTCTCTTTCTACTTTTTTCCCCCTCCAACGCCCAGGGCTTCCTCTGACTTCAAAGAACTAGAAAAGACTCAGAGGAAAATGGGTATCTGACCTAATTAAGCATATAGATTAAGATTTTCTCTCATGGTTGATAAAAAATTCCCTTTTCTTCACAAGCCTCATTCTGATTTCCTGGATGAAGGAGAGTTGGAAAACCACCTTCCTGCTGCCCCTCAATGAAGTATTGTTCCTTTAAGGAGCGGGAGGCGGGGCGGGCAGGTGGGGCCCAGGGGACAGCAGTGGCAAGAGGGGGCCATTAGCAGAGATGTTTGGGGACCTCACGGCCTGGGTTGGAATCCCCATTCAGCCACCTCCTACCTCTGGTGAATCCTTGGTCTAATTACTTAATCTTCCTGAGCCTCAGGTTACACTTCATAAAATGAGGGTGGCGACTGTTCTTACCTGGTAAGGATCTGATGACTGAATACAAGAGACGCCTTGAGAACGGTGCCTGGTACAGAGCAAGAGCTCAGGGTAACCGAAGTGGACATGCCAGTGCCTTGTCCAGGTTCTCAGAGACCTGGCTACTGGTTCTGTGCGCCTCCCCCCCCGCCCCCAACGAGATCCTATAAGCTTTGCTGCAAACAGCTTGCACCTGAGACTTCTTCGGAGGCCTGCCCCTGGGCTACTGGAGCCACCTTACCTGCAGGAGCAGGGAGTCTCCCTGCCAGGTGTTACCCCAAGCAGACAGTTACTCGGGGAGCCACAGTCAGAGAGAGAGCCCTGTTCCCTTGCCTTCAGGCAGATAGACAAAGAGTTGTAACTCACACTCCAGAGCTGCCCTCAGGATCAGGTTGAGCCTGGGGCTTTGTCTTGCTTGGCTTCTTCCCCTTTTCTGTCTGGCTCCCTGACTCCCAGCTTCCTCCTGAGAGCACTTCCCCAATAAATCACTTGCACATGAATCCCTTCAGACTCTGCTTCCGGGAATCAGACCTCAGATAGCAACTATTATTATTATTATTATTATTTGATGAAGGAGCAGAAAGCAGGCTGAGAACAAAGCATAAGCTGACACCCCACAACTCACCCCTCCCACCCCAAACTCCCACCCCCACCATGGGTTATGTGTGACGTTCCTCAGGAACTCCTGGCTGCCTTAAAGCTAAGGGAAGGGAAAACTAATAGAGATCACAGTCCTGCAAGACATGAGTCTCCAATCAAGTTACCAATGTCTTAGTGATGTACAAGGCAAAAGAGTTCTTATCAATAGCCTCACTTTCAGAGACCCATAACTCAGTTTCCTGGAGCCCTAACATCACCCTCTCCTCTACTGTGATGTGGGAAACAGAGGCAGAAGGGAATGTAAATAAAATAAAATTTCCTGATAACCTGTACCCCATTGACAAATATTTCAGGCAGGCAGAGTATAACATTCCTCCAGGAAACTCCCAACTATCCTAATGTTAATGTTTGCTAGAGGGAAAACGACCTCAGCTTGACAATAGCAAGGCCTCTAGTATCCTGAGAGTCTTCCTTAGCATATGAAAGCCATTTGTCTGTACCTCCTAGAGTCCCAAGTATATAATCAGTCACCCCTCACAACCCCCAGGGCAGCAGCTCTTTCTGCCCATGGGTCCTGTCCCTGTGCTTTAATACAATCACCTTTTTGCACCAAAGACATCTCAAGAATTCTTTCTCGGCCATCAACTGAGGACCTCACCAACATTCCAAAACTACATCGTTATTTATTTTTACTGTTATTGTTACTAGTTTTATTATCACATTTATACCTTAAAAAGTTACTTTGATCCTATACAAGGTGATGCTCATCATTTCTCTAAGTATACACAAATCAGCACTTTTCAAAGCACTTTGCTTCTCCCCTGTTTTCGGTTCATTGTTATGACCATATGCTCCTGGGAACAAGAGATTAAATGAGAATTCCAGTCTATTCCCTCTTCTCTTCCCTCCCCTGGCTACTTCCAGCAAAACCAGGACCTCCTATGCAATAATACAGGTACCTCAGACCATAAAACTCAGCCTCTCAACCCTCTTCCAAACTGCCATCTCCTGGGCCCCAGGATGCATACATTCTAGCATGGTCCACCCTGAGAAGGACAGACCCTGGGAAAAGACCGCTCCCCCCTCCCGCCCCCCCCACCTACTTCAGAATCCCTGGAGGCCTTGTTAAAACACAAATTGCTGGGCCTCACTCCCAGGGCTTCTGGTTCAGTAGGTCTGGGGTGAGACTCATGAACTGGCACACTTAACAGATACCTAGGTGAGGCCACCACTGCTGTCATGCAGACCCGATTGGGGTAGCGCAGGCCTGGAAGATGCCTGGCTCTGCGGGGCTGGGCACAGCTGGAGGCGGGCCAGAGATGGGCTGTCTCTGAAGTGCAGGGTCCACAGCAGGGCCTGGTTGTCTGGCTCTCGAGTGATTATGTTCTTGGCCATGCAAGAACATCCATAGTCATCCAGGGACTTATGAAAGGCAGAGTGGACAGCATGGCAAAAGCTTGGTGTCTCAGTTTGCTATTGCTGCTATAACAAATTTTACCACAGACTTAGCAGTTTAAAGCAACACAAATTTATACGACAGTTCTGGAGGTTTCAAGTCTGAAATGGGTCTTATGGGGCTAAAGGCAAAGGCTGTGTCCTTCCTGGAGGCTCTAGGGGAGAATCCATTCTTTGCCTTTTCCAGATTCTAGAAGCTGCCCATATCCCTTGGTTCATGGCCATAGCAATCCGACCTCTGCTTCTATCATCCCATCTCCTCTGAGTCAGACCCTTCCGCCTCCCTCCCGCTTCACTTTTTGTGTTCGAGCTCTGCCCTGCCACCACGTGAACAATCCTGGGCTAGCCTGCTGGAGGATGGAACGCCACATGGAGTGGAGATGAGCTATCCCACCCAATGTCACCCAGGACCAGTTAGCCTCCAGATGACATTCCAGATGTCTGCAAATGCTTGTGGGAGCCTAGCCAGACTTGTGAGAAATAATGCATGTCTGTTGTGTTAAGGCAGTACATTTTG